ACCAGGTCTCACATTCCTCCTCGGTGTACGGCATGGAATTTTAAAACAAGGACTTGTCAGGAAACCACACAGCAGCAAGGCCAGAATTCCTGTGCTTACAAAATAAGCCATGGAAACGCTGTGGTGGAAATATAATAAAGCCATAAAGCACGGGCTTCACAGACACGAACCACTTGGCCAAGGCTCCCCGACCAGGCCCACGCAGTGACCTAGTCCTCCAAGCACTGTCAGTGCCTCTACCTGCCCCTCCCTGCCCCTCCCTGCCCCTCCCTGCCTCTCCCTGCCCCTCCCTGCCTCTCCCAGCTCCTCCCTGCCTCTCTCTGCCCCTCCCTGCCCCTCCCTGCCTCTCCAGTGAAGAAAGTGTGGTCAGAGGCATCATATGCCAGCCAGCGCCTGCCTTTTCATTCAGTGGGCAATTTTGCCTTGGGGTGAGGCTCAAGTCTCTGCTTCAGTTTTTCCCATTGAAAAATACCCAGACTGGCCAATCTCCGAGGGAAGGCAGGGGAGGGTGGGTGGGAAGAGACCTACCGAAGACCTTGTATACATACATGCATAACCTATGGACACAGACAATAGGGGGGGGGGGTGAAGGCCTGGTGTGGGGGGCAGGGCAGGCTAGAAGGGGTAAATGGAGGGGAAAAGGGGACATATGTAATACTTTCAACAATTAAGAGTTTTTTAAAAATGCAGTTGGTAATAACGAACACTCAGACCTGTCTGATTTTTTATCCTCACTTGAGGAATCCATTCACTACAGGGCCTCAGGTCATAATAACCAGCAGGGAGAAAATTACCGAAACCACAAGAAACAATTGTGTCTCCAACTGTTGGCCTGAAAAACGGAACTTGTTTCATCTTTGCCATGGGATGCCGTCATCTGCCTCCCCCGCTGGCTCACTGAGCTGGCCTCCTCTGTGCTCCACCGGCATGGACAGAGCATCCTGCATGTGAGCAGCGCACAGCCCCGCCCTCTTCTGCTGTCCCCGGGAGGTGCCCACTTAGGGACGTTTCCCCTACCCATCTCTCCTCCTCATGACATTTTAATTCCGGAAACCTACTGAATGTTTCCCTTTGGAGGCCACATTGTACATGGAATGTACAATGCCCCCCACAAACCCATTTTTCACCCCCTCGGGCAGCACTGCCCCCACCATGCGCCCACAGTAGAGAGGGATTTACCTTCCAATGTGTGCCCAGAGCCGGGAAGGTCCCCTTCAGCTCGGCAGGGCCTTCAACCGGGGCTTCTGAAGGGACTCAGAACCCCAACATGCAAACAGAGAAGCCACGGTTCCATCTCACCTCAAGGCCACACACCATCATAGATGTTGGCATCCCTGAGGAGGGGGCCACCTCACTCTCCTAGGACCCCCCAGTCTCTGGGGCCGACAGCACCTCTCGGGGGCCAAGCCTAGCTAGACCTCAACCAAGGCCTAGCCTCATCTTTGAGGGCAGATCCCATCAACGTGCATTTCTTGGGAAGTTTTCAAAGGATTCTGTGAGGTGTTAGGATTATAAAAATACACAGCACAACTGACTACCTGGGAAGAAGTCATGGACACGCGTGGACACGTGTGGGTGGCGAGGGCTGAGCTGATGAACGAGGGGAAGGGATGTGTGTGCGTGGGCATGAGCGGGTGGTGAGGGCCCTGCAGCGACGAGGTGCGTGCGTGCCCTGCAGAGAAGGGCCAGCTCCAGCCCACTGGTGGGATCTCCTGATTCCATGGGCTGTTATGTGAAATCTGGATTTGATGTGAAATCTTCTGTTTTTTTCAATGTGGGCTTTAAATTTTAAAACCCTTCATGGACTTCAAAAAGGAAACACAGCTGTAGGCAACAGAAGCCTATAAATTTGTGAGCTATCTGCAAACAAGCAGCAGGAAAAACGTCCCCTCTTCCGGGAGGAGAGGGGCCCTGACCTGAGGTGCATCCCAGTCGCAGAAGGTGCTGACGGGGAGAGGGGTCGCTCCCACAAAGCAGGAAGGTGGGGAACTACACACAATGTCCCTGCCTCCTGGCCTCACCAAAGAAACATGAGGAGGTGTGCCCTGACTGCTTAAAGAAATGGAAGTGGCAGCCTTCTGTGACCACCGTGAGGCAGACTTCCTGCACTTTAATGCGCAACATATAGCAGAAACTCTAATCATCACTGATTTTGCCAGAGCGAACCATTTAATAATGGTGCCTTTTCTGCCTAATTAGACAATCGGTAACATCCTCCAACCAATATTATGCTACACATGAATTTTAAAATTCCCAAAATATGTAAGCTATCCTATCTCAAAATTTTCCTTGGTATAAGAATACAAGTAGACAAAACCAGTTTGGCTCAGTAAATAGAGCAGATCAGCCTGCGGACTGAAAGATCTCAGGTTCGATTCCGGTCAAAGGCATGTACCTTGGTTGTGGGCACATCCCCAGCAGGGGGTGTGCAGTAGGCAGCTGGTCGATGATTCTCTCTCATCGATGTTTCTAACTCTCTCTCTCCCCCTCTCCCTTCCTCTCTGTAAAAAAAAAAAAATCAATAAAATATATTTTAAAAAAAGAAAAAGAATATAAGTGAATCCCAGTCTGTGTTCCATGGCTTACCTTTTGGACAATAACAGACATTGTTTAGAGGTTTGGGGTCTTTCTGAATACAGTCCCTCCCAAGTCACAGAGGCTGTGCCAAGGGTCTTCTCTAGTCTCAAGAGCTCCAGTTATTTTTCATATCAAGACTCTAATAAATAATTAATGCAAAACTTTGTATTTTGCTGATAAACAAGATGCAGCATTTAAGTCAGTGCAACTCAGAGATAGGCACAATGTAAAATAAAAGGTGATAAATTTGAAGAGTTTCAGAGTAGTTTTGGGTTCAAAGTCAATGGCTAAGGTTAAGTCAATGTAGAAAAAATTACCCAATCTGTAAACTCTGTAGCTGAGATCTGAGTGATGGGAATAACCTCTTATCCAATAAAAAAAAAATTATCTCAGTAATATCAGCAGTTAATGTTAATCGCCACAAAGTGCTTAAAACTGAAAATAAAAAGATACAGATTCTTAGCCATCAAGTATTGTTAGCATACTCCAGTTTTGACATACTATCATAAAAGTAATAAAACTCATAAATCAACTGGCTGTCTGCTTCAAGGATTTACTTGACTCAAGCTGGTCAGTTAAAAGGAAAAGTATCACACTGAATATCCTTTAGCTCCCTACACATTAGGAACTCATAGAAATGAAAAGTTCTGGACAAAAAAAATGGAGACTGAAATGTATAGGAGCCGTCATTCAAATAAAGCAAAGTTCTTAATTATAATGGAGACTAGGTTTTCAGTCTTTTTAACTCAAACTTCTCTAAATTTCCAACTTTAACATAAAAATGGATTTAAAACGGGATGCTGCCAATGTTTAGAATAAAACAGCTGTTCACTTGCTGGAGGGAACTAAGATGAGCCTGAGTGCAAAGTCCACACAAAGTTCCCGGAAGCCTGTCCTTGGCCTTGTGCTGGTTCAACACAGAAGTTCTGACCACAGTGAGAAAACAAGGGTGATGGGGAAGTTTCCTATATGACCGGATTGATAGAGTTTGTCAGATCTTTTGCCTGAGGCTATCCTTTTCATTAATTTTTTGTTCTTACAACTATTCTGTCTTATAAAATATATGGTTAATAAATGAGAGCTTCCCTTAAATTGTTTGTATAAATTTACTTTCATAAGCAAAATGTTAGTAAACAGTGTGTTGATTTAATAGGGAGGTGCTCTGGTGTGTGAATGAGGCCCGAGGCAGGAAAGGTCAAGGGAAGGAAAAGGGGGGGTGGTCCTTTAGGGCAAGCCCAAGGGTCCTCTGAGGAATGACACCCCCTCCCCAAGCACCACCTCAGAGCAAGTTATTAGCCCACCCGTATCACCCACTGATGCCGTGTTTACTGTGGAAGGTATGAGACTGCATCTAGGGGCTTCTAGCTCTATGACTCATGAGTCTAATCTATGACTTTGGAAATTGACCAATGAGAACAAGAAAGCATTGCCTGAGATGTCAATATCTGGATGAAAAGTCATGTAAGCCTGAGGTCACTTCTGACTTCTCCCTCGGGCATCTAAGGGCGGACCAAGGGGCAAGAAGATAGGCAGCGTTGGGGTAGAGCATCTCACCGCATCCTTCACTACCTCTCCTGTGAATCTTGATCAAGAAACCATTTTCCCTCCTCATCTTCTCTCCTATTCTCTGCACACACATACTCAGCTGTGCACTCCTGCCTCCACCTTCCTCTTCTTGCTACATACAGGGAGATTCAGGAGACTGGGGAGGGTCAGTCCTCTTTGGTGGCAGCTGGGTTGGTGGTACGGGCAGTAGCACAAATCTTATCACCAAATCTCATACCAAAACAATCTGTGGGCAAAGTTCTGAGGGTCTAACCTTGGGACCCCAGTTAAGATTTCTCCCAGAAGCAATTCTAGAGCACAGCGAGAGTCAGTACACTCAATTACTCTTAGCAAGAAATAGTTCAATGGTAGCAAAAACGAAGCAACGAAGCACGCAACCCAAGTGAAGGCAGATTTCTAAAACAGAGAAAACCAAAGATGGCAAAAACGCATCTTAAAATTCCAAGACTCTCTCCGTAATCCCTTCCCAGGCTTCGGTTGAGTCAGGTATTTCCTAGCTCATGGAGATATTTCTCTCAGCCTCATCACATGCTCCTGAAGGAATTTTGACTCAATTCACCGGCTACTTCGGTGTTTTCTCTTTAGAAAATGGACTGATGGGAGCTGTGTTGAGTTACGTTTTCTGACGGGGAGATGTAATTCCGCACGAACCTCCTGCTTCCCAATCCCACAGGAAACCCGCCCTTAGGACAGACAGGGGCTGCCTCTGGCACTGACGCTCAGTCACGTTTCTCTGTGTGAGGTGTGTGCATGTGCGTGCACACTGTTCCTCTGAGGGAAGGGGGTCCATGTCCTAGGGACATAGCATGAGACCCCCCCGCTCAGCATGGAGAGGGGCGCTGGGAGGGGGCGCTGACCTGCACTGGCTCGGGCGGCAGCTGGACCACGTGCTGCATGCGCTCGCTGTGGTGGTGCCTGGACTCCTCCTCGTAGATGACGTCCCGCTCGTGCTGGGGGAGGTTCAGGAAGCGGCGGATAGTGCACAGGTTCTCCCAGAGCGTGCGGTTCTCCGGGCTGGGGTTCTCCTTCCAGCGGAGCAGCTCGCACAGCCAGCCCTGGGGAGAGAAGGTCACTGGAGGTCACCGGAGGAGTGCAGAGAGGAGTCTGTTGGCTGCAGGCAGCTCCTCCCACGTGATCACACTCTCCTGTCCAAACTGCTCCCACCAACCTGGGAGGCACCGGAAGAGCCAGCACCTCAAACCCCAATCAGTGGCCACTGGGTGGGTCATACCAATGCCCCAGAATTTTCACTCTTGTTCATCACCTTAGCACCTTTCCTATCACATACATCCTCAGTTCCTTTGTACAAGATGCTCAAGCAAGATCAGTTATCCAACCCTCGGGAAAAAAGCGATGTGTGTAGGTCTACTACAATTTTTAAAATTAGCCAATTGCCTGCTGACTGAAAGGTCCCCAGTTGGATTGTGGTCAAGGCCACATGCCCAGATTGTGGGCTTGATCCCCAGTAGGGGGGGTGCAGGAGGCAGCCAATCAATGATTCGCTCTCTATCTCTGTCTCCCTTCCTGAAACTAGCCAACTGGATGGTATCCCACCCTAAGAAAAGAGTGAAGACGAACAAATATGTATTACAAGATGGAAAATTCTACAGAGTGTGAAGAGCACTGAATTCTCTAGGGAGAAAACAATCTTACAATCATCAGTAACTCCACCTAACAGAAGCAAGCACCTTAGCTGGAAAGGGGGGGGGGGGGGTAGGAGTGTCTATTTGCTCCACCTCTGGATGCCTGGGTCTCCAAGGCCTCTTCCCCATCACCTTCCCGCCTCAGCCACCCCTGCCGGAAGGCAGGCAGCGGGCAGGGCCACACCTGCAAATGCGTGCCTCCCACCTCTGGCGCCCACATGTTCTCGCCACGGCACGAGGAAGAACATGCCATGCAAATAATGACGGAGCATATGAAAATAATAGAGGATGCTGTCAACATCGCTCGCTGACTCGTGTCAAAATATTTTCCCCAGCCGCCTTCTAACTCGTCACTCCCAAGCTACGCCGTTCATTTTAAAAGCAAGAACTGTCCCACGTCGCGCCTCCTGTGACAGAGTCAGAGTTTTCCTAGCAAGGTGCACCCGTGACCACAATGGGCTTGGTGAAAAATGGAATCCCACCCCTCCACCAATCTCTGTATCACCGCTGGAAGCCAATGGGCGTCCTGACACCCATCCTAAAGGCCCATACTGTATCCTGAGCCGTTGTTCCTCTGACACTCCACTGTGTCTTCTGCCTTTACACCCTGTCTCCCCACGCCCGCCTCAAAAAAGAGGCAAGATTTGATTATCTCCGCTGCATCGGCCAAGACAGCAACACCAGCTGTTCGCATTGTGCAGCCTCCTCCTCGCGGCCTCCATGTTAATAACCTGATCATTCCATTTTCCCCTTCAACTGCTGGCTGCGGCGCAGCGCCGAGACAAAAACCCAAGCCCATCTGCAGCAGCTGTAGGCACTGAACTGTGAAGCCACCGGGGATTTATAAACTAATCTGTAACACAACACTGCCTTGTTTTTACAAGTGAGAGGCCACATTTGCGCAGACCTGATCTTTGCTTGCCATAAACGGGGAGCTGGGGAGAGTTAGAGGGTGAGGAAGAATGAAAGCGAGGTATCTAATCATTTCTTTGGAGATGTTTTGCCAAGCGTTTTCATAGATTTCTTTTGTCTCCAACTCAACAGAGAGATAGGTAGGATCTCGTTGATTTTCAAGGTGCAACATTTAGGAACACTGCAGACATGTTTACCTCTTTCAGAAACCACCTAATTTTTTTTTTTTAAACCTCCCAGTCCCAACGTGTTTTCTCAAGGGTTCCTTGGTACAAAGGAAAGGATTCTTGAAATGGAAACGAAACCATCTGTGGGGGGAAAAATAAGCTATTTCCCTGTCGTTTCACAGATCTGAATGCGTCTCCAACCGAACTCTTTTCAGATCTCTCAAACAGGTATGCTTAACCTCTCCCAGGGGAGGCCACAGCCTGGAGCCCGACCATTTCACAGAGAAACAGAAACAGAAGCCTGCATCTGTTAAAGGATGGCGCTCGGAGGTGCCCGGCACCTGCTGTTCCTCCAGAGGAGTGAAGTGCATTGTGGGAAGCCAGCGCCTGAAAGGGGACAGGTGACAGCTGAGTGGTACCTCCACTTAGGACCCTCGGAATGTCTCGCACAACAGCCACTGCGGTGGCTTTTGATTTATAGGCGTCGTTGTAATCTGCACTCGTTACAGTCACTTAGAGCGGACCACGGGCCTCATCATGGGCCGCGCTGTCTGCCATCCATCTTGTCTTGAAGGAGTGCAGTGCTCAATTTGCCCGCTGACATGCGAGGTCCCGACCTTGAAGCTATTAGGGAGCGGATTAGACACAAGTGTGATCATGTGTGCAGACATAAGCAAACCAAATTAATTTCTGGCACAGGGAGGGAGCCAACGGGACCCTGTTCCCGGGGCACCAGAGCGCTCCCCCCACCCCCCTCCACCCCCCATCCCTGATGGAGCTGAGCTAATCGCATGTTTAAGGGAACCCGGTTTTGAAGATGAAGCACATTCATGGTATTTAGAGGGTTATTAATCTAGTTTCCCCACCAAGTGTTTGCTTGGCTGATCAGATTAAGGGCTGGAGCCTTCCGCAGCGCGCCCCCTCCGCAGCAGGCCCCGGGAAATCTGTGATACTTCACAGCCTCGGACATATTGCACCATGTGTACCCAGCTGCTTCAATAATTAGCTTATGAATGTATCAGCTGGTTCTGCGATTTTTATAAATAATAACCAACCTACGGAGCAGAAAGATTGTCAGGAGCCTGACAGCAGCACAAAACTGGTTCTACTGAATGCTGGGATTCCCCACTCCTGGAGCAACTGTGGTGTCATTTAGAAGTTATTTATTTTGCATCTGAAATGGCAATGTATCCTTGTCCATGTGTTATTCACGGTGGCCATGATGTACTCTCTCCTCACCCTCCTATTTTATGCTCACCTTCCAGAAACCTGTTCCTCCATCTTTTTATTCAGCCCATCCCTCTGCCAGTCCATTAGAGAAGCTTATCTCTGTCTTCTCAGTAGGGTGTCTCATGAGCTTGTTTGGTGGCTAGTGAATGTGTGAGAGAGTACCACGCTCTTGCCTGAACACACATGTATGTAACTGTGAGTGAACGCATCACAGGAGAGATACAGAGTCCCCACTTTGGGAATTTTTTTCATCTATATAAATTTTGCATGCCATCCAAGAAAGTTTTGCAGTATCAGGCAAAAAAAAAAAAGTGTAAATGTCAAATAAAACAGTGACAGATGACAGTATTCTCTATTGAATAGCACTGTTTCTGCCGTGCATGTTCAATGGGAACTCATGAATTATTAATAAACAAATCTCCTTTTTTCTGTTAAAAATCTCAAGTAGGTTTTTTGTTGTTGTTCCCTGTGTGGTATGTGGTGCATTCCAGGAGAATGAGTTCCATTTTGGAAATGCTGATACAGACGTTCCTCTGATTCCCAGGCCTGGTCCGGTCCGTGAGAGGTACCAGGAACTTTTAATGTGGTTTTAAGTTTTGACCAAATGTTGGCCAACTATTCCTATAGTCAATTGAGGTTTTTTAGGATGGTAAAACCGAGGCTATGTGTTTGAGCACCACTGAGAAGCACAGAGAGTGTTCAACTTGGATCCCGGAGAACTAACTGCTAAGTTCCTGTCCCAGCATTAAATAACTGAGTGACCTTCAGGCAAGTGGTTACCCTCTTGAAGTTACTGGGAAATTAACTGTAAAATATGGCACATTCCATGATTCGTTACCTTGTTATTTGTCAAAAATAGCAGATAATGGTTGACTATTAGGATTAAAGGACAAAGAAGAAATCACCTTGACCAAGGGATCAAGGTCAACATTACCAGCGATGTCAGGTGGACACTATGAACCCAGTATGTGATGCACCACAAAGGCCACAACATAAAATCTGAGGTAGTTCAGCCCAAAATGCATAACTTCAATCTAATCATGACAAACCCACACTGAGAGATGGTCAACAGAATAAATCAGCATTCTGCAAAAATGGCAAGGCCAAAAAATAAAAAATAAAAAGGAAAGACTAAGGAATAGTCACAGACTACAGAAAACTAAGGATAAATAATTTTTAAAAAATGCTGCATGGTTTCTTGAACAGGAAATGAACTTAGTGGAAAACTACCAAAATCAGAGTACATTTTTTAAGTTTAGTTAATTGCATTAAAACAATGTTGATGTTCTGGTTTTAATTATTGCACAACAGTCATTTTTTTATGTAACGTGTTAATATTAGGGAAAGTTAGGTGAGGGATATATGGAAACTATTATTTGGCAACATTTCTGTGAGTCTAAAATTTGTTCAAAAAAAATTTAAATATCACAGAGAAGAAATATAGGTTTAAAGGCTGATTCCTTGCAATCGATGGGTAAAGCATTCTCATGCATTCGGTGTATATGCAAATAATATCTATTACCATCTCATTTTAGCCATGTTGTCAGCTTCTTAACCAAATATATTTCTCTCCAAAGATAAAATATGTCTGATCTTCCTTTTCCATTATGAAGGGGAGGTGGCACGCACACCCATCAAAATATAGTTTATTTACAAGTCCGCGTGCTCCTGAAAAGCTGTACATCAATCTGAATTTACAAAGCAAATTATGTCGTCAGTGTATTAGCAAGTGCTTACTACTTGAAGATAGGTGCCATTATTTCTTTTTGGAAGATGAGAGATAACCCCATAGTTTGTCTTTGAGCAAAGTGGTAGTCACTGATGAGCCACTTCAATGAGACATCTCTCATCCACAATTCAAAAGCATTAAAAGAGAAAGCAGTAAGAACCACAACTGGCTCCTGGTTTCCCTTCATGGTCTCCTCTACCTTCCATTTCTCTACTGACCTCGTGCTCCCACTGTGAATTATTTTCAGTCCCCGGATCTGCTTGGTGAATCCTATCTCCATGTATGAACTGTAGGGTGTGTACCTATGTGTGACTTCTCTTTGAGTCCAAAGGTTTTAACCAAAGGTTGGCTGGATGTTTCCATAGTCAGTTAAG